TGTAACATATAGATAAAATCTCATATCAAGATTATCAAGATTACTGTCCTGTTAGAGGTCTTGGAATGATGGCAATGTTGCCATACTTCCTCAGAAAGAAATCTGGTGATACGGCGTTTTGCCAGATGAGTGAAGTTGCCAGTTACAGTCTCTCTGTCAGGATATATTCAACCAGACAATTGCTAAAACTTTTTAAAAGTCTACATCACCAGTATGAAGATTTGTTTGCCACCTTGCATTTTTTATTTTATGCAAAGCAAGTCTTTTATATTCAAGTCTCTTATTATTCTGAAACTATTGTGCACCAGATTGTCTTTGTTTTGTAGCTCATTATAGAGGCTCATATGATCAAATTACAGTGTTTTCTGTGTGTGTCTGTGTGTGTTTTTCACACAATATATCCATATGTCAACTAGAACCGAGAGAGAGAGTTCAAATTATTCAAATGGCACTGAACAAAATGGTAGAGACAGTCCTGTAGGCAACAGCTTACCAACGTAAGCTGACACATCACATACCCAGGTGCTATATTCACTTTTCCTTTTAATCCTTTCTGTAGATATTTTGTATATTTTCTTACTGTGTTGTCTTATGATATAAATAGGAGCATCTGTAACCTAGTGTAAGATTTTGAAATCCTGCAAGATCTCTGTGATTAACTTCTCTTCTTCACAGAAAACTGAAAGGCAGCATTCAATCTGAAATCAAGGGAGAGATTCTGTAGAGGATTTTGGGTCAAGCCCAGCAAGACTGTTTTAAACATTATGGACCCGCAACTCCTGCTGACTTCAAAGACAATTGAAGATATTCGTAATTTCTTAGGATGAGCTCTAGAATAAGAAAGCAGCTTTAGCATCTTACTGCAAATATTTTTTTACTCCTTCTCAGGGAAGGGAAGAAGTATATTTTCCTTAATGGCTTGAATTAATTTCTCTCAAATTAAAAAAGACTTGCTTGTTTTGAGAAGAAGAGATTCCTCTGAGATACCTGTTTTTAATGTCACTTACATGTATTTGGATGGTCCTCAGATATTTAAATTAAGAACATTTATAATTTAGAAATGTTGAGCTTCTTATGAAGACATGGGGGTGAAAGTCCCATTGGCTTTTGTGAGAGACACATTTAGCCAGTAAAGAATATTTATGCAGGTACTGAATTGATTTAATATGCCAGCTGTGTGTGGCTTCAGCTTCTTGCTGTCATTCTTTAGCAAAGGATAAGCAGCCAGATGCTTTTCAGCTGGCTCTCAACAGAAAAGAGGTCTTGGATGCTACTCTTCAAAAGATTTCAGATGCCAATAAAAAGAATTGAGTGTAGTGACTTCATTCATTCTGATGGCAGCTGTCCCAGTGTTTCATCAATTTGAGGGATGTAAATTAACGTTTTGAGATTATTCCCTGTGGAACAATCTAATAGGAACCAAGCAGAAGCATGTAAACATTGAACTAATTTGAAATGTAAATATCCAAAATAATGTGGTGATTTGTCAAACTAAAAGGATTACAGATAGCTGTCCAAAAAAGATACTGGAAGCTAGAAACACCAGAAATAAGGGCATTAGTCTTCTTTACCCTGCATGACAAGGGTAATAAAACCACATCAATAAAGTCAGGTAGGGAGGTTAAATTAACTTTCTTTATTGGCCATTTTCATTTCAAAAGCATATAAAACTGAATAAGTATTAGATTGCTGCTATTGAATTGAATGAGATTCTGGTTTCATTTCATTTTCATGTCAACTGTGCTTTATTTATTTTCCTTTCTTCGTTATTTATGTACACTCACAAAACTATATTTAAAATTATTTATGGGTTTTGATTTAGAGTGACTAAAATGAGACTGTACGAGATCCTTCTCAGACTGTGTTTTGCATTCTTGCAGCTCTTAGCAAATGTAGTGTAATTTTTCTGGCCTCAGGCATGTTGTCAGAGGATTATGTATAGTGCACTAACACAGGAGAAGTTAGTGTACATTACATAATTAAAGGGCCAAATTTTAGACACCCCTACTTGTGTATTTGTTTGAGGATCTCGAGTATCAAGGGCTGTAATTGTGCACTGATTCATAACAAGCTGTGAGATTTTAATTATCTAACATTTTTAACTGCAGCTTCCTAACTGAATTTGCTAGTGATTAGACTTTTGTCTGCCTATTACGATCTTCATTAGTGGATTTTGTGTATGGCCTTTCCTTTCACACAGGAGCTGACACTGGAGCAGGTAGCCTCAGGAAAGAGGAGAGGACAGTTATGAAAAGGGAGTCCTGTGTATGAATTCATAAAATTCCTATTACTTTCTGTAGGACTTAGGGTTTCTTTAATAATTTAAAAAACAAAAATAATAATTCAAAAAATTTAAAAAAAAAAAAAAGGTGTGTGTGGGGAGGACAAGAGAAGAAAGACTGCTGTGTTTCTTTTAATGATTTAACTCCTTGCTTTTCGAAGAGAGGCTCCAGCTTCCATTAGTAAAGGGTACTTTGGTGATACCCACATTTTGTGACAACATAAATGAGTTTTTCTGAGGGTGGTTGCAAATTTCATTGTGTCAAGACAAGCATCCAGCATCAAAAAGGTGTGTGTGGGGAGGACAAGAGAAGAAAGACTGCTGTGTTTCTTTTAATGATTTAACTCCTTGCTTTTCGAAGAGAGGCTCCAGCTTCCATTAGTAAAGGGTACTTTGGTGATACCCACATTTTGTGACAACATAAATGAGTTTTTCTGAGGGTGGTTGCAAATTTCATTGTGTCAAGACAAGCATCCAGCATCACCCACTTTTGTAGGATGTTGAG